TTCCCTCCCTCCCTCCCTCCCTCCCTCCTTCCATTGAATTTTCCCATAGTAATGAAATACTCCATTCATTTAAATTTGACTTCAATTCAAAAAAAGTTCCGAAAGGCAACCCAACGTTTTGACGTGAGTTGATTCATCATGCTTCAGGAAAGTAAGATTCCAAGTCCAAAGATAAAAACAAAGAGCAACCGCCCAGACCAAGACGTCCCCGAATCATCAGCTCATCACATCGCTGAGTCCGTTGAATCATTTGCAAACTATCTGAAACATTTAGTCAGACCGAATGATGAGGATAGGGAGAACCTAGCCCCGATAACACCGAGGTGGTCCGATGATGAGCCGGTCAAATCTCGAGCGTCGATTCGGGCAACTTCGGTTGATGATCGGATGGAACGGATTTCTAGAGAACAAAGGTTTCAGTCTGAGGTATGTAATGACTTGCGACCTTCTCTTCTCTTCTCTTCTCTTCTCTTCTCTTCTCTTCTCTTTTCTCTTTTATTTTTTTATTGTTCTCATTCTTTTCTGTTCACTTCTTTCTTTAGTGTTCTGTACTTTTCTGTTTTTCTCTCTTCTCTTCTGCTCTGCTCTTCTCTCCTTCATTCTCTTTTGCTTTGCCTATGTTGTTTTTTTTCTCGTTCGTTTGTTTGCTTTGAGCTGGCACTACTGTATTGCAAATCAACTGACAAACTCTCCATTTCCTGGTCAAGGTTGAAAACTGGCAAACGGCCTGGAAAGACGAACGACGTCGGAACGACAAACTCATCGCCGACTTCGCTGCAAGGGAAAGAGAGCTATCAAGAAAAGAAGAAAAAACTCGGCTGAACTACGAGGAACAGATACATGATCTCAAACAAGAGATATACAGTCTACAGGCACGACTACAGGAAGAACAAGAGAATGCCGATAATAGGAGAAAGGTAGCAAGTGGCGGAGATTTGAAGGTAAAACTTATTTTTCTTTGTTTTTATACGAGCTAGTTGCACGGTCCCTAATTTGTTGTAAAACCGCAAACCTCTATTCGTCGGACACCCTTCATTAAACGGACAGCTAGTTGCACAGTCGCGAGATTTTCTTCCCATATTTACTGTCAAGCAAACCTCTATTCATCGGACACCCTTCATTAAACGGACAGCTAGTTGCACAGTCACGAGATTTTCTTCCCATATTTACTGTGAAACAAACCTCTATTCATCGGACACCCTTCATTAAACGGACAGCTAGTTGCACAGTCACGAGATTTTCTTCCCATATTTACTGTAAGACAAACCTCTATTCAACGGACATCCTTCATTAAACGGACAGATCGTTGCACCGTCGCGAGATTTTCTTCCCATATTTACTGTAAAACAAACCTCTATTCATCGGACGCCCGTCATTAAACGGACAGCTAGTTGCACAGTAGCGGTTCCCATATTTACTTTTAAACAAATCTATATTCAGCAGTACACCGTAACACACCATTTCAATTTTCATTCGTTAGGGTATCACCGAAGAAGAGAAGAAACGACTAGAAAAAGAGATTCGAGAACAGGAGAAATTAATGAAGGGTTATCAACAAGAGAACGAACGACTGTACAAAGAACTCAAGCAGATCCAAGCCAAGGGGAAAACGACTGAAGCAAGAATGTTTGCTGAAAACCAAAAACTCGGTAAATTGGGAATGGGTTGTGTAGCGGTATAGTGCACTCGCCTCACCTCTTGAGTGGGTTCAATTACTTGACTCTCCATTATATGAGTAGAGCTTGTTAAGTGCCTCCCTTGATTCGAGTGTTTTTCTACGGGTTCTCCGGTTATACTAGAAAAAATCAACTAAAAATCAACTTTTAAATTCCAATTGGAATCCAGTGGAAGAAGAGCCACTCTGTGGAATCCACTGTTAATCCCATTATTACTGCTGCGGTAAAACTAAAACGCTAAATTCTAATTATTCAATCTGTGAGTTAGCCATGCCCTGACTTAGAATAGCACAGAGGTTGTTTCAGGATTCAATCTGTGAGT